TTCTCTTCTCTTCTCTTCTCTTCTCTTCTCTTCTCTTCTCTTCTCTTTTCCTATATTATACTATGTTATCTTTATGGGTTTTTTACTGTGAGGATTGTTGAACACTAGACACATGTTGCCAAACAGGTTGTGGAGATTTCAGCCTTAGGATATCCAAAAACCCAGCTGGGCACAGTGAGCAACCTGCTCTGGCTGGTCCCACTTGGAGCAGGAGGATGGGATGGATGATCTCCAGAGGCATCTGAGCCTCAGCATTGAGTGATTCCACCGTGTTACACAGGCTGTGAGAGCCTCCCCAGGCTCCCCAGGGACTATTCCTGCAGAGATGGGCTGTTTTGGGGTGGCCTGGCCTTTCATGGGCGCCCCCTGTAGACCTTGATCATCTTGTACTTTTACAGACTCTCTGGCATGTTCCTGGTCTGTGCAAAAGGCTTTATTATTAGCTTTTATGTTTTTGAAATATTGTTTCTTATAACATTTTTTGACCTTCCCGTGACTGGATTTTGTGCTCTTTTCTGTTTTTCTCATTTGGACAAAACTTCCACTTTTGGAAGAATGTAATTTTCTCCTAATAAGCTCCATTACTCTACTATTTAACCATGAGAGCTCCTTTCTGGCCCAATTTATAGGTGATATATATTTATTCTTAGCCTCTAAGATGGTTCCTTGATGTAATTTCCTTGCCACCTCCAAGCAGTTCATCTTTCTAGAGGCTGTTTTTAATTTAGGGTTATCAAGTTCCTTGTCCTTTCTTTGGATGGGATGAATCACCACAGTGAACACAGCTAGTTTGGATTACACACCTGACTAAAACAAGGGGAGTTTAGCCCACAAATCCCATACCTAATATAACAAAAAGCTGTTTTCTTGCCTGAAAACTACTGTATAGTACTCTGAGGGGAAAAAAATGAGGCTTGTCTTTATCCATTTCACCATCTCCCCACGATGCTGCTTAATTTTCTGAGAGATACATCTAATTAGTTGCATGAATAAATAAATCCTTTATGTGAAAGGTCTTTGTGGAACCACCTGCTTGACTTCTTTGCTGTTGAGGGTCCTCACTGTTATTCTGTTAAAAATGAACAAATGTTTTCATTTGAGCTCAGTGGATGTGGAACAGCTCTGCTTTGTCAACTGGTATTGCTGTAACGACGAGAGTCTGAGCACTGAGAGCCCAACCAGCCCAGCTGTGACTTGCTGCACTGCTGGTGGTTTGTATTGATTATTTTGAATTTAAAAGTGTACTTGATGTAAGTGGATATTTGGGGAACTGCTCACAGGCACTCCTGGGGCGAGTACCCGATTCCAGAGCAGCCTTGGCTGTTCATGGGTGGGATGGATTTAGTGCTGCTCAGGAAATCAAGGGTGTAAATGGGGGAATGATAAAGCCTCCCCTTTGTCCCTGCCAGAACGTCCACCTGGTGGCCAAGTGGCTGAGTTCCCTGGAGAAGAAGCTGGAGGAGCACAGCGAGGGCAGCCACCAGGACTTCCGTGTCTTCATCAGTGCAGAGCCAGCACCTTCCCCTGAGAGCCACATCATTCCCCAGGGCATCCTGGAGAACTCCATCAAAATCACCAACGAGGCCCCCACTGGGATGCAGGCAAACCTGCATGGAGCCCTCGACAACTTCAGCCAGGTAGGAGCTCAGGGGCACCAGTGACAGGTCGGCTTGGAGCTGCTGGAGCCACCATGGAGCGTGATGGGGGAAGGCACTGCCCTTCCAGGCAGCAGCTGAGTGAGTCCCTTTGCATCCCATCATGTATCCCAGAGTCACAGAATGTGCTGAGTTGAAGGGACTCACAAGGATCATCCAGTCCAACCCTCAGCCCTGCACAGGCCCATCCCCAAGAGTCACCCCCTGTGCCCCAGAGGATCAGCCAAACCCTCCTGGAGCTCTGGCAGCCTTGGGGCTGTGCCCACTGCCCTGGGGAGCCTGGGCAGTGCCCAACCAGCCTCTGGGGGAAGAACCTTTGGCTGAGATCCAACCTGAGCCTGCCCTGACACAGCTCCAGCCATTCCCTGGCTGCTGTCCCTGCTCCCCCCAGAGCAGAGCTCAGTCCCTGCCCCTCCTCTGCCCCTGCCCAGGAAGGTGGAACTGCAATGAGGTCTCCCCTTAGTCTCCTCTTCTCCGGCTGAACACACCAAGTGCCCTCAGTGTCCTCACATGCCTCCAAATCAAGGCCCTTCCCCATCCTTGTTCCCTCCTTTGGACACTCTCTAATGGCTCAATCTCTCCCTTCCATTGTGTCCCCCCAAACTGCCCCAATGTTGAGGTGAGGCTGCCCCAGGGCAGAGTAGAGCAGGACAATCCCCTCCCTGGTGATGCTGGACCTACTGATGGAACTGCAGCTGAGTCTCCTGTGCAGGGGACACGACACTGAATTGTGTGGAAATGATGGAAAATATTCTTGGTACCCCAGAGGGTTAGATCTGTGTCAGAGCCATTGGTATGTGGTGATTAAGTGAGCTCTGCTCTGTGGCCTCTCTCGACAGCTCTGGCACCACAGGCAGGAGGCTCTGGGAGCAGCAGGACACAGATCAAACAGGGCTCCCCAGGGAACAGCCGGTAGCCAGGGCAGGCTGGAGCCAGTGTGTGTCACTGCTGGAGCCATCCATGCTCCTGCTGACCTCATTTACCACATAACACAAAGGCTGAGAGCTGAGCATTCACACTGCTGATGATTCCTGTCCTGGAGACACAGACACAGTCTCCTGCTGCCCTGAACACTCATTGCCCTCACTCACACATTGCCCTTGCCTTGGCACAGGGAGCTCTCACAGCAGGACCCCATCTGGTGAACCTCGAGCAACCAGGAGGGTCTGAAGGTGCCCTCAACCCTTGAAGTGCCTTTTTGAAACAGTAGTGCTGAAGTTCTTGCACCCTCTCCACTCTGCTGATGGCTGTGCCAGGAACACACAGGGCAGGTCTGGCAGGATGGTTTTCTCTTGTGAGAAATCTCTCTGCTCTTCTGTAACCCCACCTGCAGTGCTGAGTCCAAGACAGCTGGAATGAGTCCAGAGGAGGCACTAAATTGATCACAGGGCTGGAACACCTCTGCTAAGGAGACAGGTTGAAAGAGTTGGAGGTTCCAGGCCTCTTTTTGGCCTGGAAAAGAGAAGGCTCCAGGGAGACCTTAGAGCCCCTTCCAGTGCCTGAAGAGGCTCCAAGAGACCTGGAGAGGGACTTGGGACAAGGGCCTGGAGGAATAGGACAAGGGAGAGTGGTTTTAAATTGAAGGAGGGTAGATCTAGATTGGCTATTGGGAAGAAATTGTTCCCTGTGAGGGTGGGGAGGCCCTGGCACAGGTTGCCCAGAGAAGCTGTTGCTCCCCCATCCCTGGAAGTGTCCAAGGCCAGGCTGGATGGGGCTTGGAGCAACCTGGTCTAGTGGAAGGTGTCCCTGCCCATGGCAGGGGGTGGAATAAGATGATGTGTAAGGTCCCTTCTGACTCAAACCATTCTTTGATCCTAATGATTCTCTCCATGCAGCCTCTTGTCGTTTGGGAGCAGGCAAGAACACTCCAGTCTATTGTGTACCCCAGGCCCTGGTCCATGGGCAGGGAAATGGGGGCAGCTCCCAGCTGATTTTGCACTTGGAGTGGAGAGAATGTCAAGAGCAGCAGCTAACTGTGCTGAGCAGGGGATGGGGAGGCACCATGCCAGGATTAATGTCCCTAGTCAGGAGAGATTATTCCATTTTTGTCTACTGTCATTCATCATCTTGAACTCCACAAAATGTCCCAGAGAACAAGGAAGGGGAGAACCTTCACCCCAAGTAACATTTTCATCCTGTCTCTGCTCATTTCGATCAGATGGTAATTAGCATTTTCTAAATTGCTGGAGTATTATAAAACATCTCTTATCAGAAATCCTGGAGCAAGTGGGTGGGGTCCCTTTTACACCTCATTTCCCCGCTTTATACAAATGGATGTTCAAATTTAGCTTTCAGCTGAAAGCTACAAAGGAGCCTCCTTATTCTGTGTGGGGGATATTGTTCCGCTTTGTAGCTGAAGAAAAATACACAACTAAAGAGGGGCCAAATGAGACTGAACTGGATTCTCAGTGTTCATTCAGGCAGTGCCCCTTCATGTCTGGGGATGGTTCCTAAAATGAGGAAGTGCTCTGCACATATTTGAAGCAGTTCTCGTGTTCATTTTCAGTGATTAAATGACTCAGGCTCCTGCCCCTCCACCTCCTGGGCAAGGTGCCACAGTCCCAGGCCCAGTGCTGGCCCCCTTGCCCAGTGTGATGACACAGAACTCTTCAAGTGAGTCCAGATGAGGCCACCAAGATGCTCCAAGGAGCTGTGGCTCCAAGATGCCACAAACTCTGCTGTGAGGAAAGGCTGGGAGAATTGGGATTGCTCAGCGTGGAGCAGAGAAGGCTCCAGGGTGACTTAATTGTGGCCTTCCAGTACCTGAAGGGTCTCCAAGAGAGCTGGAGGGGGATTTTTTGCAAGGGCATGCAGTGCTAGAACAAGGGGGGATGGCTCCAAACTGCCAAGGGGCAGGGTTAGATGGGATATTGGGAAGAAATTCTTCCCTGTGATGGTGGTGAGGCCAGTGTCCAAGGCCAGGTTGGATGGGGTTTGGAGCAACCTGGTCTAGTGTCCAGGAAGATGTCCCTGCCCATGGCAGGAGGTGGGATAAGATGAGCTTTAAAGGTCCTTTCCAACCCAAACCACTCTGGGATTCTGGCATTCTCTCTCCATCTCTCTGGTGAGGGATGTTGAGCACATACAGGTGATGGGGCATTGAGTGGGTACACGTGTCCTTCCCTTCTCCACTGTTAATGTGTGTTCCTATGCAAAACCACTCTGAGCTGGAAATAGTAAATATTAATTCCGAAAATATTCATTAGAATTTGCCAATAAATTTGCAATGCAAATCCACTGACTTTAAAAATTAACACATGTGTGTATTATGCAAATATGAACTGGAGGAAAAATTGATTGGCCTCTTCTTCCAGGTAGGAAGCCATAGGACCAGGGAAATGGCAACAAGCTGCACCGGGGAGGTCCAGGTTGGATACTGGGAAAAATTTCTTCTCTGGAAGCGTGGTTAAACATTGGAACAAGCTGGGCAGGGAGGTGGTGGAGTCACCATCCCTGGGAATGTTCAAGTAGTGGCACTTCATGATGTGGTTTAGTGGGCATGGGGGTGTTGGTCAAAGGTTGGACTTGATCTCGGAGTTCTTTTCTGATCTTAATGATTCTGTGATTCATCTCTGTCCAAAGTTGGATGTATTTGGAGGCCCTGAGGCTGAGAGCAGTGGCTCTGCCTGTATTGCAGGACACCCTGGAGATGTGCAGCCACGAGAAGGAGTTCAGGAGCATCCTGTTTGCCCTGTGCTATTTCCATGCCGTGGTGGCCGAGCGGCGCAGGTTCGGCCCCCAGGGCTGGAACCGCCCGTACCCCTTCAGCAACGGGGACCTGACCATCTCTGTGACTGTGCTGCACAACTACCTGCAGGCCAGCTCCAAGGTGGGTGCTTCACTGGGGCTCTGAACCACCGGGGATATGGCTTGTGCTGAAGCTCCTGGGAAATCTCCTGAAATACCATTTCCTTGGGATCTTTGGGTTTACTGTGCCTTTGTGGGGAGATGAGAGGCCTCGGTGCCACTCTCGCCTGTAGAAGCTTAGAAATCACAGCAAACAGTGCCTGTGGTCTTTATTCATTGAAAAGAACAGTGATCTTTGGTTTAACAGAGCTTAGAGTAAATTTGCATTTCAGTGGGGAACTGCAGGAAATCTCTGCTGTGATCCAGTTCTCCTTGGGCAGAGTTTAACTACTACCTGATGTTTGTTCACTGAGAAAACTGAAGCAGTGAGATTGAAGCACTGAGTGTGCAGGTCAGTGCTGGAACCTGCAGCCCAGCACTGGCCTCTGGAGCTCTGGCTCTCTGACCTCCTGCATGTTTCCTAAAATGAGAATCTGTCTGTCCTTCCTGCCCTCCCTGTTCATCCTCAGGTGCCCTATGACGACCTGCGCTACCTTGTGGGTGAGATCATGTATGGGGGTCACATCACAGATGACTGGGACAGGAGGCTTTGCAAAACTTATATGGAAGAATTTATTAAGCCAGAAATGCTGGAGGGAGAACTTCTTCTTGCTCCAGGATTCCCCCTCCCAGGGAACATGGACTACAATGGCTATCACCAGGTAAGCTCTTTGTTTTCTGGCATTATTTACACACCTAAATGTAATGTGTTCCATAACTGCTCTATAATCTGCCTTAGGAGGCAGGAACAGGGCTACAGTGTTTCTGCACACCTTTGTTATCTCCCATTATGTTCTGTTTCTGTAGATGTCTCAGCATTTCCTTGGATGACCCAGTCTAATGGTAATTTGCCACTTCATCATGGGCTCATTCTGTTCATGCATGAATAGAGCAACTGTATTGGTGCTTGAGACTTGAGCAGGGCTCCTGGAAAATTACATCCACATACTGTTTGCTAAAATGGCCCCTTCAAGCTTCTTTTATCATCAGTTTTGATGAGAATCACTGATGGCTCTTGTTGATCTACTTACTGATCTCATCTGTTCTTTGTACACAAATGCAGTAGCAGAGAGAGCCGTATTAGGCTGGGTTTGTTCATAATACTTTACTACTGGAAGCTTAATTTCCATGAGAGATCTCAGGATGCTGATGCTGAAGTGCACAGCAGATAATTGCTAGAGAAGGTCCAGCCTGAGATATAGAGCCAAGCCAAACTTCAGCAATTACTGAATTTTGCCAGCAGGAGTAGAAGCAGTTCTGTAAACAAACATACTCTCCTTCCTCCATCAGTTCACTGGTGTTTCAGCCCCAAGAAGAGCTGCCCAGCCTGGGCTGACCTGGGGGGGATGATTCCAGTGCTGTGAGCTCTGCAGGCAAAGTGCCCTGGGCTCTGTATCCAACCTGAACCTGAATGTCTCTATATCTCACATAAACCTGAATGTGCCTGTATTTAACCTGGACCTGAATATTTCTGTATCTTATCTGAACTTGGATGGCTCTGTATCCATTCTGGACCTGACTGTCCCTGTGTCTCACCTGACCCTGGCTCTGTGTCTAACCTGGACCTGACTGTGTCTCTGCAGTACATAGATGAAGCCCTGCCTCCAGAGTCTCCATACCTGTATGGGCTCCATCCCAATGCTGAGCTTGGCTTCCTCACACAGAGCTCGGAGCAGCTCCTGCACACGCTGTTGGAGCTGCAGCCCCGGGACAGCAGCACTGGAGAAGGAGGAGTGGGGACCAGGGAGGAAACGGTGAGAGGGGCAGAGGATCCCATCCCTGTCCCATCCCTCAGTCCTGCACAGCTCAGGCTGTCTCACAGCTGTTCATTGGACTGTGTTCTGCCTGTGCTGGGTACAAACCCAGCCTAAAGCCTTGTTTTATGCAGGACATCACCACAGTAGGGTGTAATTGGAGTATTGGCAGTAATAGGACAGTGGCTTTTAACTACCCCTTGCACTGCGGTGCCTTCGTTATCATCCTCAGAAGGTGTTGCAAATAAACCTTGTGTGGCCTCCACTGATCTCTGAGCCACCAGTCTCTGTGCACCCCTGTGTGTCTGGCATAACAGGCTCCTGAGTGCACAGTCAGCCACCTAAATGTGCCACCCAGAGCTCAGCCCAACTCTTACTGCTGCCACCATGTCCCACCCAGCTCCCAGGCTCCCAGGAACCTTGTAATTCCTTATTTCCAGCTGAAACCCTTTACTGTGCCTATGTACCAGGCTGATCTTCCTCTGAAAACTCAGAGCTCATCAAAACATGGCCCAAGCATTCCCACCAGGATCAGAAATCAGCCAACACATGCTCAGGTTTTTATTTCTGCAGTCTTAAGGCCCCAGCTCTGTGTTCAAGCTTTGCAAATTGATGAGTAGCTAACGGGAAGCTTATATGAAGCCTGTGGTTTCACACATCTTTCTTTTGCCTTGGTGTGGGGCTGGGGAACTGACTGCCTTCCACTGAGGGGCTCTTAGAAGTGCCCAGTATGTTCAGTTTTTGGTTCATACTGGAATTTGAGGGGACAGTAATAATCCAGAGGTAGCAAAGCCAAAGGAGATGCTCAGAGGTAGCAGTTGTGGCTGCCTGTTCTCCCATTGTGTTTGCTATTGAAATGCAGTTAAACTGCTCGGCCACAAATGCAAACTGATCAGTGAGTGCCCCAGCAGTGCTGTCACAGGGCCTGGCCACTCTGCAAACCCCTGGTGACACTCAAGAAGACCCTCACAGGAGCACAGGAGTCCTCATGGCTCTGTCTGGGAATAAAATCTGCCTGAGAGCAGCCGGAGTGTGGCCTCACTGCCCCGTGTTGTATCTGGGGGATGCTCCCACTGCTCATTTTCTTCCCAGGGTGATCTCTGTCATGATCTGAGCTGTAACTGCACTGCCTGTGTCCATTTGGTCCTTGGATGAGAGGGAGTTAAGTGTTGTCTCAGCTCCTCCCCTGGAGGATATCCAGCCCCTGCTTCGGCTGAGGTGGTTTTTAGGGAGCTTCCAGGGAAACTGTGAGCCTGTCGTTTTCCTGAGGCTCTGACAAGTCCAGTTACTCCCACAGGTTTCTGAGGCCACATTACAGCAAACGAGCTGTAATTGTTGTGAAGGAATCAGAGCCAAAGGGATTTGCAAGGGAATTTCAAATTAGAGGATATTTCTGTACTGCACCCGAGCTGCAGCTGAAGAGCTTTTCCAGCAGAGCTTTGCTTCAGCTACCTGTGTGTTGGAACAACAGCCCACACATCAGCGCTGCTGACGTGAGTGGGGAGGGTTTGGGGGAGCAGCAACGGGAGGAAATTGGAGTACAGAGTCCAAAATAGGACTGGTGGTGGCCATGGCAATGAAATGCCCCTGGCTGCCTCTGCAGTTGGCACTGCCCCCACAAAACAGATTTCTGATGTTGGATCATTGAGTTGTAACTGTGTTATGTGCTCCTGAAAAATCCCCAGGAAGCAGGAGTCTTGCTCGGGTTCCAGCACAGCAGTAAAGCAAAGAAATGTGTGAGACTTCCATAGCAAGATGTCTAATGTTCCACAGAAACCTGGGAAATACAGCTGATCCCATGGAGATGAGGGGCTTCATGCCTCCCTGTCAGCCAGAAAGGGGTTTGTCTATTTTATTTAATCCTTTAGACACTGGAAACATGCTGTTACATTGGAGATTTCCCTGTTTTGTACTTAGAGTTCCAAAGGAGCTGTGATGGTGACCAGAAAATAATCTTGTTTCATTATGCTTTTCTTCCATGGCTCCATTAGTCCAGGATGCCAAAGTCAGCTTAAAACTCAATTTTCTATAATCACCTCCCTATATCAATAAACCAGAGCAAACTAGCTCATAAGCTCCATTGTCCTGAGGCTCAGCTGAGGCTACAGTCCCATTTGTCTCCTTGTGTTGAGTTTGACTTAAGGAGAAATAAGAAGAGAAGCTTGAAAGCCAAGCACAGAAGAGGCTGCTACATGTCATGGGGATGTTTTTAAACCATCATTTTGAAAGCTGCTCATCTGACATTAACTTTTGTAAGCTACCGAATTTTAATAGGATGGGGCAAGCTCTCACAGTCACAGAATCACAGAATGTGCTGAGTTGAAGGGACCCACAAGGATAACTGAGTCCAACCCTCAGCCCTGCACAGGCCCATCCCCAAGAGTCACCCCCTGTGCCCCAGAGGATCAGCCAAACCCTCCTGGAGCTCTGGCAGCCTTGGGGCTGTGCCCACTGCCCTGGGGAGCCTGGGCAGTGCCCAACCAGCCTCTGGGGGAAGAACCTTTGGCTGAGATCCAACCTGAGCCTGCTCTGACACAGCTCCAGCCATTCCCTGGCTGCTGTCCCTGGTCCCCCCAGAGCAGAGCTCAGTCCCTGCCCCTCCTCTGCCCCTGCCCAGGAAGGTGGAACTGCAGTGAGGTCTCCCCTCAGTCTCCTCTTCTCCAGCCGAACACACCAAGTGCCCTCAGTGTCCTCACAAGCCTTCAAATCAAGGCCCTTCCCCATCTTCATTACCCTCCTTTAGACACTCTCCAGTGGCTTCAGATCTTCCTTATACTGTGGTGCCCAAAACTGCACCAAAAAAAAGGTGCTGTGCCCAGTGCAGGTGACCTGTGTGGTTTTGGGGACACTGCCTGGCAGGTGAAGTTCTCCTGTCACATTCAGGCTACTGAGCTAAGGAGATTCTGGGGTCACTCGTGCCCATCCCTCTCTCCTCCCTTTGGCACACAGGTGAAAGACCTTCTGGAAGAGATGTTGCAGAAGCTGGGTGATGAGTTTAACATGGCAGAGCTGGTGGCCAGGGTGGAGCAGAGGACGCCCTACGCCGTGGTTGCCCTGCAGGAATGCGAGCGCATGAACGTCCTCACCGGGGAGATCAAGCGCTCACTGCTGGAACTGGAGCTGGGCCTGAAGGTGGGACTGTGGGACAATCCTGGGGAATGGTGCTCAGGGAATGAAAGGGGCCACAGGGAATAAAAGTGCTCACGTGCTGCTGGCTGCAAACACATCTTGGCTCCGTGGGAAGGGCTTACAGATGGATTTCAAATGGCACAGTGTCCTCAGGCATGGGGAGGGGTTACACACACAGCACTGCCTGTGCTTTAGGAACAGAGACCAAGCACTTCTGACCACCCCATATTGTGCCACAGCAACAGCAGGTCACTCAGAAATTGGGACGTGACCTATTTAAATGTGAGCCAAAAATCACAACTTTTCATAAAATGTCCAGGTATGGGGGAACTTGGAACAAAGTGTCTTAGAGGCACAAGCTGGGCTGAAATCAAAGATTGGTTGTGTGTGAGGACACAAAATGTTCAGAACTGTAAGAGAAAAAGCCTAAAAATGCAAGTTTTGGAAGAAGTACAACTCTCCTTGTTGGGTATGAGTCACCTGCTGATGGAGGAGGGCCAGGACAGACCTACCCCAGGAAGACACCATCCCTGATGCTCCACCACAACTGCTTCTCCACCCTGGTAGGAAACGAGACTCTGCTCCAGGAGAGTGATTCTGTGTCCCTCCGGGTGCTGGCTTTGGCCACACTAGCTGGGATGCAGATTTCTGGGTTCAGCAGGGTGGGAGGGAGGGCTGTAATTGATACTTCATACACTGGTAGAAATCATCTTCTGCATCCCCTCCCAGGCAGTTGGTGGGACAAAATATAACAGCTCTGGTTGCCCACTGGGGGATAAACCAGCAGGGATCAGGCTGCACTGTCAGGGAGTGAGGACCTGCCTGGCTGTCCTGGTGCCCTGCAACAAGACTTCCCGATCCCCTTGTCATTCCCAAAGACTCTCCCCCAGAGTCAAGTGCTGTACATCCCTTGAGAAAGCCCAAGTGCAGCACAGGGATGCAGCCTGGAGCTGGCAGCACAAACCTGGTGGCTTCAACACTGCCCTGCTGCCTTCCCTGCACCACCACACACAGCCCTGGAGGATGGCACAGAGTCACAGAGTATGCTGAGCTGGAAGGGACCCACGAGGATCATTGAGTCCAACTCCTGGCCCTGCACAGGCCCATCCCCCTGTGCCCCAGAGGATCAGCCAAACCCTCCTGGAGCTCTGGCAGCCTTGGGGCTGTGCCCACTGCCCTGGGGAGCCTGGGCAGTGCCCAACCAGCCTCTGGGGGAAGAACCTTTGGCTGAGATCCAACCTGAGCCTGCCCTGACACAGCTCCAGCCATTCCCTGGCTGCTGTCCCTGGGCCCCCCAGAGCAGAGATTCCATGGGATGAAGTAACAGTTAAGGGCAGCAGTTCCTGAGCATTCCCTGCTCCATCATCTCTGGAATGACAGGTTGTCGTCCCATTTCACCAAAATTCTCAGCTCCCAAAATCAGTTTGCACAGTGTAGGAACCATCTACCTGAAGGATCTACAGCGGCTTTGACCCAATCCCTTGGCAGGAAGAGTTGCTGGGTGGGAAAGGAGGGCCTGTCCTGAGGGCAGCTTGGAAGAGAGATCTCCAAAGGCCCTCCCTGCAGGGACATGGTGAGGGGCAGGGTTGGCTCAGGGATTTGGGCAGCAGCTCTGCAGGGATGGGACTGGGCTGTTCCCAAATCCCAGCTGTGTGAGCTGTACCCTGAATCCTGCACATGTGTCTGCAATGCATTTGCTGCTGCTGCTTATTGTCTTCATTAAAGAGAGACATATCACTGTCACTTTGTGGTGGCCAGTGTGGACAGTCCAGTTTAAAATAGGTTGATATTTATGTAGTCAATTATTACAAACAGATTTCCCTTATTTTCTAGCATAAGGCAGTGGAATTGAAAATTCTGTTTTCTGAGACAGGTAAACAGAAGTGATTTAATGTTTCAATCCCAGAGCAGCAAACAAGATATAATTGCAACTTGGACAATGTGTGGCAATTAGATTTAATGTGGGGAAGAATATGCTGTATAATATTGATAGGGGAATGAGGGGATGCACGAGCTTAAAAAAAGCACAGACAAAATAAAAGCTGAGAATCAACAATAGAGGGTGCAAACTTCTCCCAAAACCCTGCCATAAATCAGGGCAGGGCAGGAGGTGGTACCTGCAGAAAAGGAACCTCTAATGACTGGAGCAGCCACAGCACCTGAGGGGGATTCAGGCACCCAAGGCCAGGACTGGAGGAGAACTGCAAGGGAACAGTTTGAAGCTGTGCCAAGGCAGGCTCAGGTTGGATCTCAGCAAAAGGTTCTTCCCCCAGAGGCTGGTTGGGCACTGCCCAGGCTCCCCAGGGCAGTGGGCACAGCCCCAAGGCTGCCAGAGCTCCAGGAGGGTTTGGCTGATCCTCTGGGGCACAGGGGGTGACTCTTGGGGATGGGCCTGTGCAGGGCTGAGGGTTGGACTGGATGATCCTTGTGGCTCCCTTCCAGCTCCGGATTCTGTGAATCTGTGAATCTCTTCTATGGGATGAGCAGCAACATCAGTCTGACTCAGCATTTCTTCATCTGCTGTTGGCTGAAGAGATATATTTGAAGGGCCTGATAGACCACCAATGGGCGATTCATGGAATCCTTCTGGTTGGAAAAGACCTTTAAGATCATCAAGTCCAACCGTCAACCCAGCACCAACACCATGATCTCCACTAAGCCATGTCCATATCCTCCTGTTTTTTGAACACTTCCAGGGATGGTAAGTCCACCACAGCGTGTTCCAGTGCTTTACAACCCATTCTGTGAAGAAATTTTTCCTAATATCCAATCTAGCCCTCCTCTGGCACAGTTCTGTATCTGCAGGCACTCGTGGGTCCCTGAAGAGCTGAGAGATGTCATGCATGACCCACAGCACTGCCCAGCATTGCCCATGTTCCCATGCCATGGGGCCCGTCGAGCAGCCAGGGAATGCTGATGGCTCTTTCTGCTGCCCTGACTTGACAGCTGGTCTTCACACTCAGTTTGGGGGAGAAATCCTACTTTAATTGTTCCTTCCCAAAGGTTCCTTCCCTAAGCAGCTCCTGTTAGAGCCGCTGGAGCTCGTTAATCCCTGGGGCTGGGGTTCTGCACTGACAGCCCTCAGAGGAGGAGAGTTTATAAACCAGGAGCCTCAGAGCTCAGCAGAGAATAAATAAAGCCCAGAGGAAGCAAATCTTTTTGGTTTTAACTGACTATCTGCCAAAAGAAGGCGATTTGGAAATGTCAGGCCTAATTTGAAATTTTTGAATAATTCATTGTGTCTTTGTAGCGGAAAGTGATTGTTTGGTCCAAAAATAGGAGACATCCCATTAAGAGGAAGAGAAATTGCAATAGACTGGTGGCCATGAAAAATAACTGGCACGTTGCACTTCAAAGTCCTTTGTTCTGGCTGACTTGGGTGGGACCAGAGGCTGGGCTGAAACACTTGCATGTTAATGCTGTACCAGCCTCATCTTTGCAAGCAGATCTTTTATTTTGCAATTTGGGTGAAGGATAAGCCTCCAAAATGAGGATAATATATATTCTAAAATAACCAAGTTAGACCAAATTTCAATAGGCTAACGGGGTATTTCACTGTATCAAGTGAAAATAAAATAACCTGAACTGAGAAAACAATTTGTGACAATAGCGTGCTCATCTGGAGGAAATGGCTGCAGGCTGATTAGGGTTTCCTTCAAGGGTGTCTTTAATGAAAATTACTCCCAGCATTTGGGAAAAATAAAATGAAAAAAGTAACTTGAATAATTTCAGATGCACTTTAGTATTCAGCATCTGAAATGCAAATTTATGCATAACTGTGTTTGGACAACTACATGAGATTGCTGCTGTAGATGCTTTGAACCCTCATAGGAGGCTCTGACATTATGCTTGGATGCACAAGTTTTAAAAATTGCCTTTCTCAAGCCTTGCTGAGAATTACATTTGCTAATTCATTTGTTTCCTGAAAGTAAAACTAGACATGATATATGATCAGGGGGTTATGTCTTTAAATCAATTTGACTACTTGCACACATTTTGCAAGATTTTTTCCCATGTTAAAACCTATCCAGGAGTGCAAAATCCTCCTGTCTCAGTGTCCTGCTGTGGCCAGTGCAGGACTTTGCTCCTCAGACTATTTTTAGTTCCTCTATGGTCTTGTCATGGCTTTAGACCATTGATACTTCCTTTCCATGTCCAATTTCTCCTAAGATGGGAGATGGTGACCCACAGGGTATGAACAAAGAAGGAATTGCAATGGTGCTTCAGGGTTTGTGGCCAGTGTTCAATACCAAAGTCATGACAACTGCCCTGATGGGGTCAGACCATCCTGACAGCCTGGAGAAGGTCCCTGCCAGCCCCTCTGATCTTCTGGAGGCTGAGCTTTGATGTTGGATCAGGAAATTTTCTCTGAGTGTGTTATGGAGAAAGTGAAACACAGGTGCCCAAGAGGAAACCCCTGGGGCTTGCACTGCCTTGTGTGTCTGTCACTTCATGGCTAGTGCCAACATGAGCCATCTCTCATTTGTGTTGGACCCTCGTGCTTGGAGTTACCCAGGACTTCAAAACCCTTTGACCACATGACCCATCATTTTGAGATTCCCCACAGTTGAAAAATCATTGATTAGAAATCATGAGGAGGCAGAGACTCCCCTGGGATGGCACAGGTGAGGTGTGTTTTGAAAGGTGGTTGCAGTTGTTCCTCGTGTTTTAGTACTAATCGCAAATATTCCTGCTTCCACCTTTTCATTTAACCTCATTTGTTTCTTTTGGCTTCAAAGACCTTAAACTCTTTGTACTCATGATTTTCTCTATCCACCATAATCTGTTCTCCTTGGGGAAACCCAGCAGGTTCAGATGGTGTGGCAGAGGTTTAATCATGCCTTGTACCAGTCCCTCCTGATGAGACAGGAACATTTCCCAGGGAAATCCACAGAACTTGGGAGGGAGGAGGAATCTGATTAGAGATCCCAAGGCTGCAGCATCTTCCAGGCATGGGACAGTGCAAAGTCCTCTGAGCTTCCATTGGAATTGGTGGGTGCTGGGGACTTCCCCTTGAAGTCCTGCCCTTGCTTATTGCCAGACAAGATGGATTTTATTGTGGATGTTTAGAATTTTTCACAGGAACAGAAAAAGAGAAAAAAAATAATAATGAGAAAAATATGAAGAAGAAGACGATGATGAAGATGAAGGAGAAGAATAAAAGGATGAAGAAGGAGGAGAAGAAAAGAAGAAAAAGAAGAAAAAGACGAAGGAGAAGGAGAAGAAGAAAAGAATCAGCAGAAGAAGAAAAATATGAAGAAGGAGAAGAAGGAGGAGAAGAAGAAGAAGAAAAGAAAAAGAAAAAGGGGGGGGGGGGGAAGAGAAAAAAATAGGGTTGTAAGTCAAGTTCTAAAAAGCCAGAAGTGCTTGAATGGACATTTCCAAGGCCTGAATTCAACTGACAGCCCTCTTTGCTCCCACACAATGGTGTATGGGGCAGGTGTGTGTCCAAAGCCCTTGTTGAAGTTGTCACCCAGCAGCTCCCAGGGCTGTGGCTGGTTCAGGGCATTCCTGTCCTGGACACTTGTCTGCCAAGGTTGAGGCTCTGGGCTCTTTACAGAAGGACTTGCTGACCCCAGAGCAAGGCTGGTTTGCCCTAAAGAGGCTGGAGAGAGGTGGGGATCAGGTTCTTCTCCCAGCAAACAAGGGACAGGACAAGAGGAAACAGCCTCAAGCTGCACCAGGGAAGGTTTAGATTGAATATTAGGGAAAATTTCTTCGTGGAAAGGGTTGTAAAGCCCTGGCACAGCTGCCCAAGGCAGTGGTGGAGTCACCATCCCTGGGAGTGTTCAAAAAACATGTGGATGTGGCACTTGAGGACATGGTTTAGTGGTGAACATGGTGGTGGTGGGTTGATGGTTGGACTTGGTGATCTTAAAGGTCTTTTCCAGCTTTAACCATTCCATGATTCTGTGGTTCTAAGCCTCGACCACTCCATGCAGAGCTTCCACTTGTTGGTGTTGGATGCACCAGGTTCCATCGCCCAGGGCACCCTCCTGTGTCCCGTGCTCTGGTGGGTGTCCAGCTGTGACCTTGTCCCTCTGGACCCTGGCAGTGGTGCCTGCAGGTCAGAGCCCTGCAGGGCATGGTCAGCCCAGGAACAAACTGCAAAGATTTGGAACTGCTGGGTCTGCCAAGAATTGCTAAATGTGTGTGGGGGTGAGGTGCTTTGAGCAAATTTCAAATTTGCTAAAGCTTCCTGGATTTTTGTGGCCCCAGTACAGGGCACCTCTGCTGACCTCATGGCTGGAGGCACTGACATCCTGGGAAAGAACAGTTGGAATTTTTTAATGTGAATAGACTGACCCAATTCCCTCACCCTTGTTCTCAGCAATGGCTCAACTGATTTCAGCTGATCTTTCCAAAAACACTCAGCCTGAGGCAAAGAGAAACTGTAAGTCACATAAATTCTGGTGAAATGATAAGGGGATAAAAGAAAGTTTTTATAATGGAAACCAGTGATCATTCCTGATCATTATCTGATCATTCCATACAGGGGAAGCCCAGCCTGTGTTTGCAGGTTTTTTATTTGCAGCCTTGCTTGGTTTGAGTGGAGCAGAATCACAGATTAGTTGTTCAGGATATTGTCTAGTCCAACCCCATCCCCAAAACAGGGACAGGTTATCTGGGACCCACTACAGTTGGGTTTGGAAATTTCCAAGGATGGAGACTCAGACCCTCTCTGGATAACCTGTTCCAGTGTTCAGCCCCCCTGACAATTTATTTTGATGGAATGTCCTGTATTTCAAATGGTTCCCATTGCCTCATGTCCTGTCACTGGACACCCCTGAGAAGAGTCTGGCTCCATGTTCTTTGCTTCCTGCCGTCAGATGTTCATAGGCATTGAGAACCCCCCTGAGCCACCTCTCCCTGAGGCTGAGCAGTCCTCAGCATTGGTCCCAGCACAGCAGACGTGGCCTCACCAGTGCCATGACAAGGACATGGTCTCCAACCTATCCCAGACTCAGAGAAGCTCCAGACACTGCTGCAGTCCCAAGCACAGCCCCTGTCAGCAGCTTGGCCTGAGCTGAGCCTCTGCTGTGCCAGTCAGCTGCCCTGGGTGGGGACAATGACTCGTGGAGTGTCACCACCCCACATGTACCCTGGTGAGCTCCATCTCTGTGTCCCCTGGTGCAACCTGCTGCACAACCTGCTGCTGCTCTGAACAGCCTCTCCCAGCTGTCCTTTAGCCTTGGTAACATCCAGACATCTCTCATCTAGATTTCATAAGATTTCAGCTGGATACAGCAAGAATTTTCTTAATTTTAGTCTCTCAGGCCATGGGAACCCTCTGCAGAGCACCACAAGTTCAAGAGGGATGTGTGGTTGATATGCAGAACCCCTCTTTGGCCAGGCAATGATGTTCCAGCTCTTCTGCCTGAACAAAAGTGATCCAGGTTTCTAAATGCTTTAAAACTAATTAATTGCTGCATAAAGGATAAGTCAAACCTTTCTCTTTATCTCACTTGGCTGAATCATATCTTACTTTGTTGTGTGTTTCCCTGCTGTGGAAGGAACTGTGATTACATTTGCAGACAATACGTGAAGTTAAAAAGAAAATCTTGCGCTGCCAAAGCAATAGATGAAGAGGGGAGGGAGAGGAAGTGGAGGAGAGGAGGGGAGAGGACTTGACTTAACAAACATTTGGACAGTTTTGGAGTAGATCATCAGAGACTCCAGTGTCCTGCCCTGGCAGTGAATGAGAACACCTTTGAACCTTTGAAAACTGGCTCTAACAAATCTTCAGTCCACAAGTCCAAACAGAAAAAAAAAGGGGCCAACTGAGGGACACCCTTTTCACTGTCCCACAGCTTCTCCTCCCAGTAGTGTGTTTACAGCAGGAAAGATGAGGATGCAGGAATGTGCAACAGAAGGTGTTCAGGAAAGCCCCAAACTCTTGAAGCCCTTCACAGTCCATGACCACCAGTGACTGTGTGGGGTGAGCTGCTGATCCTCATGTCCCGGCCCAGCTTCTGCTTGAACAGCCTTTGCTGAACAGTTATCAGTGCTAATTGTGCCCTTTCTCACACAGGGAGAGCTGACCATGACCAGTGACATGGAGAGCCTGCAGAATGCTCTCTTCTTGGACATGGTGCCCGAGTCCTGGGGAAGGAGGTCCTACCCTTCCACAGCCAGCCTGGGCACGTGGTTCACTGACCTCCTCGCTCGCATCAACGAGCTGGACACCTGGACTGGAGACTTCTCCCTGCCCTGCACGGTGTGGCTTGGTGGGTTCTTCAACCCCCAGTCCATCCTGACAGCCATCATGCAGACTACGGCCAGGAAGAACAAGTGGCCTTTGGACAGGATGGCCCTGCAGTGTGATGTGACAAAGAAGAGCAGAGAGGACTTTGCCAGTCCCCCTCGGGAAGGGGCCTATGTCCATGGCCTGTTCATGGAAGGAGCACGCTGGGATGCACAGGTGAGCTCACCAAGGCTCTTGGGTTGGGAGGGAAGCCATGGATGTCATGTCCTTATTCCTTGGTGCTGCACTCAGGAAACTTCTCAGCCTGGACAGGCTCTCATCTGAAATAGTCATCTGAGCTGCCTCTTCAGGAAGGACAGATGGGAGATCTGGGCCTCTCCTGGGCAGCCCAGACTGGGGAGTCTAAAGTGGTCAGAGGAATCACCCTTTGGAGCTCAGCTCCATGGCTGTGAAGGGAGTCCAGGGTGCTCAGCTTGGACTGACACATCCAGTGTGTCCCAGGTGAATCTCACTGACTGAACTGTGCTCAGTACTCGAGGTCCTGCTACAGACAGACACCACAGGGTCCTGGCAGAGCTGCACTGTCCCCACACCTCCACATGGTGTGATTTCACTGCTGCCTCCAAAAGTGACAGATTTTTTGGGGTCACTGTTCTGTTGCCTGTTTGGCAGCAGTGGGGAGAGAGGAGAGGACTCTGCTTTCCTATGTGCTCACATCCTCAGGGCAGGATGAGTGGGATGTGCCACACCCAGAGCACTGTGCTTCCATTGTCAGGTGCTGCAGGATGTGACCAAAAATGAATAATATTCTTTATCCATTCCCTTAAATAAAGCTTGATGAAGGTCTAACCTGGATAGTCCACATGGACTCAGGCTGATGACTCAGGATGGGGGGTGGGCTGACCCTGGACAAGCAGAACACAGTGAGTGTCCCTTGCTCTTCTTTCCCCCTCTGGGTGAGAGGGACACCTTTCAGCTGGAGCACAACCTCAGGCAGCCAAGATGAGGGCCATACCCACCCCTTGGGCACTTGCTGTTCCTGCCTGTGGAGCTGTGGCATCCTCTTGGAGCAGCATCCCAAGGAGCCCAGCTCTCCCTGTGAGACCTTCTGACAGTTGTCAGCTGCAGGAGCATAGCCTGCAGAGCCAGAGCCCTCAGACTGACAATTCCCACTGGGTCTGGTTCTGTGAGTTGCCTGGCCCGTGGGGCTGTGATTCCCAGTTTGTGCTGTGTGTGGGAATTCAAGGACAGTGGTTCCTGCAGCTCTTCCTGTGCTCTGCTGCTGCTGCCAGGGATCTGTGAGAGAGAGAACACTGACCAAAGTGGGTCACCCAAAACCTTCTGATCTGTGTCAAGTTTACCCTCTCACAAGAAGAGGCTTTTATGTCAGACACAGCTCTTTACCCAGAGCCAGCTCTTAAGACTCCAAGTCTTAACCTCGAAGATCCCACTTTATCTGCTGTGGGACCTGGTGGGCGGCTGCTGAGGAGCCTGTTAGATCCTGAATCCCGGCCTGACCTTGCAATTCATGTCCAACAGTCACTACTTATTTGTCATCTCCCTCTCTGCAATGGTTTGCCTTGAAGGACAGGAAATTAAGCAAAGCTTTGACCTCACTGAGTGATGCCATCCAGTGCATTTGATCACAAATTCTTGGGAAAGTTAAACTTCCGGGCCCTTTTTCACTCTGGAAATGGGTTGACATGTACACTGGGTCTGGAAAGCCACAGGCAGTCAGGAACATGGGCAAAGGCTCTGTCAGGGGATTGCAGTGAAGGTCTCGTGTGAGTGTCATGTCAGATCCCCTCCATGGTTTTGCTCTGCTCACAGCAGAGCTCCCAGCAGCAGAACAGGGACCAACCAGCCCAGTCTGTTTCCCAGCCCTGGTCCCACAGTTCCCTGACTATTCCCTTCTCTAAGTCTGTGGTGTGGCTGCCACACACAGCCCCTTGGAATCACAGCCCTCACCACAGGGAGCACTGCATTTCAGCTGCCCTCAAACCCTGACATCTGACAGGTACAAACCAACTGGACACAACACAACAGAGAAAGTTTAAAAAAATTCCTGGTCGTGCGTATCAAATAATCCTTTTAAAAAAATTCCAGTGACTGGTGTTACATTTTCCTTTACCATCCTTGCCACCATTACTAGAACTGAGTCTTGCTCATGTTTTGCCCACATTTTACCCAGTGCCAGGCAGGGCTGGCAGGGAAGAGTGAGAAGTTTTGGTAGTGCAAAGCCAGAAACCTTTTGGGAAACATGTGGCTTCTCCCCTCTGCCTCCCCCTAATAACTCATCCAGGTGATTGCATTCAGCAATGAGCTTTGTCTGCAGGGACCATCCCAGCCCCAGGAACTGTGTTTTTCTGATTACATTTTCCTTGTGATTGAAAGATACTGAGCAAATACCTTTATGGAACCATTCATAATCTCTGGTATCATGCTTCAGTTTATTTCAGAAAGGAAAAGGATATTTTCATGGGTTGCTGCTCACACTGAAATATCATTTCCACTGAGTGGAACTATTCATTTCACCTATAATCCAGTGAGCACCAGTATATTAATGGATGCAGGACTTTTAAAACAGGTGCACAGCTCTTTTGGGTTGTATACTCCTTCCAAATTAATCCTCTGATAAAAATGGTAGGTCCTATTTAGAAGCATCCTCTGGGGAACACCTCCACTCTTAAAAGAATATTTCACATTTAGGTTTTCCTCCAAAACAGGAAAAAGTCCCTCTATGTTCTGCTACACACATTTTTCTATTTATTTAAACATTTATATTTGCCCTTGGGTGTCTTAAATTTATAAAACATTCATTACAAACCAGCAGGCAGCTATTAAATGAAATGAAACTAAGCAGATTATTTTGGGTGCAAATGATGTGTTGCTGCAGCCCTGTTCAAGTCAGTGGCACTCAGTGAGAGATGCTTCCGCTGGGGACACTCTGAGACATTTTATCTCAAGCCAGGGGAGCCTTGCTGACTGATTCCTGGCTTTCCTGCTCCCAGCAATGGCGAGTTTGATGCCAAGTATGTGCCCTGCAACTCCTCAAGGGGAGAAGTGGCTTTTACACCACATGTGGCAAGTGAAGCCTTGCCAGGTGCAGACAGCACAGCCCATTGTCATGGAACCATGGAGTCATGGAATGGGTTGGGTTGGAGGGGACCTTAAAGCTCATCTAATGGGCAGGGACACCTTCCACTAGCCCAGGTTGCTCCAAGCCCTGTCCAACCTGGCCTTGGACACTTCCAGGGATGGGGCAGCCACAGCTTCTCTGGGCAACCTGTACCAGGGCCTCACCACCCTCACAGGGAAGAATTTCTTCTCATTCCCCTAGTCCAGTTGAAGCCACAAACCCCATCACTCTCTGGACCCCCTTGGGGTGATGTTTCTGCTGCTCCTCTGCTGGTCCCCAACCCCTCCTCCCTGCAAACAGGTTCCAGTGTCCCAAAGGCAACCGAGCCGTGCTGGGGTCCTTGGGCCAACTGACCCCAATGGGCTGTGCTGGGAGGGCCCCTGTGCTGATGAACCTCAGTGTGCACAGAGTGTGAGGGGTGTTGGGTGTTGTCTCACTGGGTCTGGAGTTGAGCCCATCATTCCCCAGCCCTGCCTCTTGACATCTGGTTTGTGTCTTCAGGCCCATCAACGTTCCCTCTCAATGGCCTGTTGGGAAGCCAGGACAAGCAGAAAGGGCTTTGTCAGGATCTGAGGCCTGAGCTCCCTGAGCTTTGCACCAGGAAAAGCTGTGCCAGTAGTCAGGAAAAATTGCTTTCAGAGTAGAATTAATTTCTGATCATAAGAGCGATCAAAAATGCAAATGCAAATCAGCCCAGACATAACAAAATGATGTGTTACATGGAGGTACCTCAGGAAGTTTTCAAATCTTGGTAACCCAGAAACAGGTAGAATATCTCTTGGAAATTTGATTTGAAGCAGTCCCAGCAGTTAAAAAAAAAAAAACAGAACTGATCAAAATCCAGTTTCAGAATTGAAAAATGTAGATTTCAAAAGAGTGCATAACAATGTTTAATAAATAGCTACTTTGCAAGGTATCATAAGAATTATTTAATGTTTGTTCGGCATGTTGAAAATATAAAATCCTAAATGAGAGCTGGATTTATCACAGTTCAGTATAACAGATGGCATTAGTACAATTAAACTGAGGTGTGTGGCAAGAGGGATTATTTTTCTTCACTCATTTGCAGAACTAAATAAACTACTGGAGAGGCTGAACCTCATTCCACAGCCCTGATGTAAGAGCACTGGAAATAATAATGATATGTGAGGGTCAGCTGCAGGGAGAGGCTGTTTCTCTAGCACTGAAAAGCTTTGTTTCTGTTTCTCTATTTGTTTTCATTTGGTCTCTCTAACCTCCATTAACAATTTTGCAGCTCCCTGGAAACGGATTGATGTGTAGGGCATTTTATTGTCGGAAAGGAAGACAGAAGATCCCAGAGAAACCCAAATGAGAGAAATAAGCTGTTGATTTCTTGCCCTGGCAGAGCACTGTCTTTGTCCTGTGTTGGGCAGCCTGGGCAGGGCATTGCTCTGAAGCGGATATTTAGTGACAATATTCCCTCAGGAACAGACCTGTTGAATCCTCCTTGTTGGTGTGAGCACCTGTGAGAGGGGAAACCAGCCTGTGGTGCCTTTTGGGGCCACCCAAACCACTGTGTGCGTTTCATTTCCCAGCCAAGTGCTCAGATTATGGTGGTGGGATGGAACCTCACTTGGTGACTTTTAGTGAGTGTTGTTCTGAATCCCAAGCCCCGTTCAGGTGCCACAAGCAACACTTCCCACAAAGGGAGTCTGGTCTGGTAAAACCTTGAGAAAGAGCTGCATGAGAATAATCCCAGAATCCCAAAATCCTTGAGGTTGGAAAAGCCCTCCCAGCCCATGGAGTCCCCCCTGTGCCCAATGCCCACCTTGTCCCCCAGCCCAGAGCACTGAGTGACCCAGCCAGTCCTACCTTGGACACCTCCAGGGGTGGGGACTCCAAACCTCCCTGGGCAGCCCCTGCCAAGGCCTGACCACCCTTTCCAGGAAGAAATTCCTCCTGATATCCAACCTGACCCTCCCCTGGCACAGCCTGAGGCTGTGTCCTCTCATCCTGTCCCTTGTTCCCTGGCAATAGGACAAGAGGAAATGGCCTCAAGCTGCACCACAGTAGAAGCCAGAACAAGTGAAGTGAAGACTTTGCCCGTAATGTGGCTGGACAGAGTCAAGAATATTGTTCCCCCACAAAGTCCTGCTCAGGTGTGTGTGGGTCTGAGCACCTGATGGGGAGGCAGGCTCTGTACCCTTGAGATAACCTGCACTGAGATAGGCTCATGGTGAGACAGGGCAGGTGTTGGATCCAGACCCTCCTTCCCTCAGACTCATCCAGCCCCTTGAGCTCAGGAAAGCTGTTTGCACTTCCCCAGTAAGACCAACCTGTATAAAAATCACAGAAGATGATGCTGTGATGGAGCAGTTGATGGACACCTTGGAACTCTAACTGAGCTTTGTCTCCTTTCCTTTGCAGGCCGGGCTGATCACTGATGCCAGGCTCAAGGAGCTCACCCCAGCCATGCCTGTCCTGTTCATCAGGGCCATCCCTGCTGACAAACAGGACATGAGGGCCATGTACCCATGTCCTCTGTACAAAACACGCCAGAGAGGCCCAACTTACGTGTGGACTTTCAACCTTAAAACCAAGGACAACCCTGCCAAGTGGGTGCTGGCTGGTGTGGCCCTGCTGCTGCAGGTCTAGGGGCACCCCCACACTCCTCATTTGCAAATCCCAACATTGCCTTCCTCAGGCAATTTAAACAGTTAAATGCTGAGGTTTAACCCAAGCTCCATCTCTCCAATGGCCTCAGTCCCCAGGACTCTCTCTGAGCACTGGGGACATGACCATAACAGAGCCTGTGAGAGGTGACAGAGGTGCAGAGGGACACGTGGACCAGGCTCATGGCTGCTGTAAACCCAGATCCTGTAATTCCTACCCTGCTGCACTGGAGCACTGGAAAATCCCAGCCTGCAGCCTGATAATCCACACTCAGAGGTGTGAAATATCTTAATCTAAACCTAGTTTTTATTTCTATTTTATATTCCAAAGTAGTTTTAAAATCAGTGGACTTTTCCAAAACACTCAGATAGTCCAGTGACTTGTGAAATTCTCCAGACCTTGTTTTTTTCTCTGTGTTTGTTTCCCATGTGTGTGATGTTGAAAGCTGGGAGGTGGGCAGATGTTGTGGTTATAAACTGTTTCTTGATAACTTTCTAAATTTTAGAAACACTGAAAATAGTGGTAATATCCAATGTGCTTAATGGAATCAACTGTAAAAGTAGAGCACAGGCGTTATTTAAGAGAATTTTTCATGGTCATAGAGACTTATTGGGTCTGGCTGAGCTGGAGTTCATTTCCCCACAGCAGCCCTCTCAGTGCTGTGCTGTGCACTGGTAGCCAGAAGGGTGTTGGTAACACACCAGTGTTTTGGCTGCTGTTGAGCACAGCACCAGCACTGTAACATTCCCTCCTCAATGAAAGGAAGATCTTGGGAAGGGACACAGCCGGGCCAGCTGATCCAAACTAACCAAAGGGATATTCCAGGCCATATGATGTCAGCTCAGATATAAAAGCTAAGGCAAGGAGCAGGAAGGGGGGCATTCATTGTGTCCAATGGCTGAGGAACTGTCACGTTTACCCAAGCCCTGCTTCTCAGGAGGGGCCGCCCATCGCTGCTCGTGGGAAGTAGAGAATAAACCCTGTTATCTTTCGCTTTTACACGTGCAAGCTTCTGCTTTACTTTTGGCTTTAAATAAACTGCCTTATCCCAACCCATGAGTTGGTTTTTTTTCCACCTTACTCTCTCCCCTGTCCCGCTGGGAAGGGGAGTGATAGAGAGGCTGGGTGGGTTCCAGTTGTTCAGCCAAGGTGAACCCTCCATAGTCCTTTCTGGTGCCCAACGTGGGATGAGATAAAGGCAGTTTTATATATATATATATATATGTGCATATATATATATATATTGCATGCTATAGTGATAGTAGCTGTTGAATAGCAAGCTCCTGTGTGGGACATGGAGTTTGCTGGCTGCACTGCTTATCATTTTATTTTGCTAAGCTTTGGGAACATATTAATCTAAACAGTATCTCCATGCTTTGCTTTTACACCAATGACCTTGTTATTCTCGGGGAGTTGGCTTCTGGGGAGCTGTCTGAGGACGGTGGAGGAACACACTCTTTCCCCCTTCCCTGGCATTGATATAAATGGCTTTATAATGAAGTCTCCCATGCTCCTTGCTAATCCTTACGTGAGCCATTTAGTAATGTTACTGTTGCTAATACTGTCAGCACATTAGGGAGTTCTTGGATTCTCGTGTTATCCTGGTGTAGGAGAAAACAAACTTTAGGTGATGATGTATTGGGATGCACCCCGAGGTGCCCGGTTCCTGGGTGGCAGGGAGTGTGGAAGGATCTGGGCAGGTTACCAGGGCATTTGACACCTCCCATTACCTGGGCCTTCACACCTGAACAGGCAAACACCCTGGCAAACTGACACGTCACCTGATGGAAGGGGCCTTGCCTACCCCAGTCAAAACCAGCAGCTTCTTGCCCTGTCCTGGGGCCTGGCCTGTGCTTATGGAGCCACAGTTCAATACTCTCAGAAGACTGCAGTGGAAGCAGGGACCCAAATTGCAATAGAGGATACTCTGGCTGAGACAGGGACTCAAAGCACAGCAACTACAGTCATTGCCCCAGTAGTGAAAAGGAAGAAATGGATAAGGCAAGGGACAGGGCCATAGCAGGGTTTAGCAAGGGAGGAGGAGGATGAAGAAGAAGGAGATGGGGCAGATAAGAAAGCTGGTTCTTCAACAAAGGAAGTCAGACAGCTCAAACAGGAAACCAAGGTTACCTGGTCCCTGACCTCATCAGAACTCTGGGACTTCTGGAAAGATTCCAGCTGCCAGCCCCGTGAACGGATTCCTGCCTGGCTGCCTCGATGCTGGGACAACAGGGCTGATAGTCAACAACTGGAAGGTCATGAAGCCCAGCTGGGATCCCTTGCCAGAGATGGCAAAATTGAAAGAGGAATTGGAAAGGAGAGAAAAATTGGAGACGGCTCCTCTCAAGCGTGAGGGAAAGGTATCCATTCAAGGAAGATCTAATGAGCTCCCCGAGAAAGTGGGGCCACTGCAGATGAAAGTATCCAGTACTGGAGAGAATTAGCAGTGCTGGAAATCATTTGTAGTAACCTAAGAAGGGATGACACCCCCAAAGACCCAGAGGATGTTCATTGCACGATGGCCATGTGGAGGAAGGTGGTTCAAAGCACCCTTGAGTCATATTCTAACAGTCAGGTAACATTATATTACCCACACACAGATCCACCAACTGTAGAGGATGCTCACGGGAAGTAGAGAATAAACCCTGTTATCTTTCGCTTTGCTTTAGCACGTGCAAGCTTCTGCTTTACTTTTGGCTTTAAATAAACTGCCTTATCCCGACCCATGAGTGGTTTTTCCACCTTACTCTCTCCCCTGTCTGACTGGGAAGGGAAGTGATAGAATGGCTGGGTGGGCTCCAGGCATCCAGCCAAGGTCAACCCACCACGCTAATAAAACTCATTATTCCCGGACTAGTCTCTAGAAGTTACCTGTAGGCCTGTTCCATGTGTTTAATCACAGCACAGAGAGCAAACAGGAGGTCAGATGGGAGGAACAAACCTTGCTGGGTATTTAGTCCTGACTGGGTGGCTGAGAACTGATGTGTTCCCAGAGCAGAGCTGGGTGTGCAGACGGCAGTGAGCCAGACACACAGAGCATTGCTCTGGACTGCAGGGGCTGAGCCCTGGGAGTTGGGAATCACAGAATCCCAGAATATGCTGGGTTGGAAGGGATCCACAAGGATCATCGAACCCAGCCCTCAGCCCTGCACAGGCCCATCCCCAAGAGTCACCCCCTGTGCCCCAGAGGATCAGCCAAACCCTCCTGGAGCTCTGGCAGCCTTGGGGCTGTGCCCACTGCCCTGGGGAGCCTGGGCAGTGCCCAAACAGCCTCTGGGGGAAGAACCTTTGGCTGAGATCCAACCTGAGCCTGCCCTGACACAGCTCCAGCCATTCCCTGGCTGCTGTCCCTGGTCCCCCCAGAGCAGAGCTCAGTCCCTGCCCCTCCTCTGCCCCTCCTGAGGAAGTTGTCCCTTCTGAGCTCTGCTGTGCTCCATCTCTTGCAGCACCTGGAAGTTCCATCCACTTATGGCTTTACCTGTTAAACTGCCTTTACCTCAACCCACGAGTTTCTTTATCTCAACCCACCAGTTTTCATACTTTTGCCCTTTTGCCTCACTCCATCCCTGTGGGAGGGAGGGAGCCAGGGAGCCCCAAGGTGGGGCTTGGCTGCTACTGGGGTTAAACCAGGACAGTCTGTCTGTTTGGTCTCTCAGAGATTCATATCAAACTGAGCAGCTTCATGGATGGCCTCAGCACACAGTGGAGAAGACATGGTCAGCTCTCTGCCAGTCCAGGGTATTAACTTCCCTCCCACTGAGAGTCCTGCAGGAAGGTAAAGTCCTCAGGCCTTGCAGGAGGTCCACAGGAACTCTCTTGCTCTGAGCAGCACAGCAGCTCTTCCTGCAGGAATGAGAAGATACAAAATCCTTGGGTTTGCAGACCTGGAGAATGGCAAAGTTCTGGATGAAAGGAAGGTGGGAAAACTCTCTGGTAAGAACTCTAATTGCCAGGCAGTGTCTCCAAGGTACAGCCCCAAAAATTAATGATGAAGAAGTTAGTTGTGGCTTAGCAAAAGCCATCTGCAAATATCTAAAGCAACGGAGAGAGCTGGTTTAAGCTGCCTATTTTAAAATGCCTCTAACCCGTAAATGAGAGTCTGTGGACTATCCCACGTAATGAGTACCTGGCTAGAAGAGGTCTGTTAGCTGGGGAAAGCTATCCTATTAAATTAAATCCCTCACAGTTTGAATTAAAACCTGCCAATTAGTGTAATGTACACTGGTCACTTCCCACGGCTTTGCAATGTTGGGCACATTAAATTCTCCGTGGATTTCACCATTCAGGAGGTTCAGTTGCATAAACAGAGCACGGTTGAATTAAACACAGAAAAGCAGGAACAGAATGTAGAGTAAGTGCATCGTGCTCCAGATAATCCATCGTGCTGGATTAGTCCTTCTTAGGCATTTCTTGAATGTTTCTTTACCATGGGGGACCTTCTCACTCTCTACAACCACCTGAGAGGAGGGGGGAGCTGGGGTGGGTCAGGCTCTGCTTCCCAGGAGCAAGGGACAGGAGGAGAGGAAATGGATTTAAATTGCAGCAGGGGACGGTCAGGTTGGACATCAGGAGGAATTTCTCCCTGGAAAGGGTGGTCAGGCCTTGGTAGGAGCTGCCCAGGGAGGTTTGGAGTCCCCACCCCTGGAGGTGTCCCAGGAAGGCCTGGCTGTGGCACTGAGTGCTCTGGGTTGGGGGACAAGGTGGGCATTGGGCACAGGGGGGACTCCATGGGCTGAGAGGGCTTTTCCAACCTCAGGGATTCTCTGTGTGATTCTGTGATCCTCAGTGCTCTGTTTGTGGGATTTCCTGCCGTTCTGGAGAGTGTCACTATCATAAATTTCAGGCTGCTTCTCTTTCAAAACCTTTCCTCCTTTTTCCAGCACACCAGGGCCTCTCTCTGCTCACTGTTGCCCCTCAGACCTACAGGAAAGGAGAAGCTCAGTAACTCCCCAGGCGCTCCCTGCTCTTTACAGAGCCACAGCCTGGGCTGTTCTCTTGCCAGCTGAACAAGAATGGGCTGTTGACAACAAAATTAATCGGATTGTTTTATTTATTATATACATCTCCCTGCATAATTCACCAGTTGGGCAGGCAGGGGAGTGGGGAGATATTTATAGATACTAGAAATGTCATCAGGGTGTTCATTCCTCATCCTTTGAAAATCATCACAGGAGACTTGGCTGCAAAATGCTACAAGAGGAAAGTGAATAATTTGGTGCTTTAGGGGGTGAAAAAAACATCTGACAGGTGTGAGATATTTCAGCCATATCTGCCCAAAGCAGGCCATTAAATCCAGCTGCCCAGGCTGGTCACTGGGAGCAGTGCATTGGCAAAGGTCACCATTGTCTGTCCCTGAGCTCTTGGAAGCAGTTGCCCACTTGGCATTGCCAGTGTGCACCTTTCTGCCCACCCTGCCCTGCCTGGAGTGGAGAGACTGGCCAGGGCCCAATCCCAGGAGCTGGCACAGCTGGTGCTGAGGGCTGAGCACTTTGGGTAACCTTGGGGCACATCTGAGGTTGGGCTGCAGCAGGGCAGGGGTTTGGGCAGTGCTGGGAGCTGTGCCAGCAGGGTGGGCAATAGGGCAGGGAGTCAGGTGGGACCCCACCTGTGCTGCCTCCAGCTCCGGGGTCCTCAGCACAGGAAACATGGATCTCTTGGAGCGAGGCCAGAGGATGGAGCAGCTCTGCTGGGAGGAAAGGCTGAGAGTGTGGGGATTGTTCAGCCTGGAGGAGAAAAGCTCTGGGGTGACCTAATTAAGGCCAGTGCCCAACCCACCCTCTGGGGGAAGAATCGTTTCCTACAAAAATCCAGCCTAGCCTTCCCCTGCTGGAGAACAGAGATTGGAGCTGCCCCTCCCTGCCCAGGGGATTCCAGACTGGCTCAGCCTTTCTGGATCTCCATGGGGTTACTTCAGGCCTGACTCCTCAAAAGGTCTGTGGGCAACTGGTTAACTCCAGATTGGTGACATTTTCCAAAGAGATGAAAGTGAAAGAAGGAAAATTGTGCTCTTGGACACTTAATGTCAGGGAAAATTGACTGAACTCTTCTGGGATAGAAAAGTGTCTTTTCCACAGCCTGAGAGTGTTTTACCTGCTGCAAACTACAACTGGCAGAAGAGCACAGTTCAAAGCAGAGTCTTCACAAATGCTTTGGAATGATGTTCCATATTTGGGGGTTAACCAGTTCCATTCTGCTG